TTATTTACTATCATTTAAACACACACAAGTTAACCTTATCGAGGCAGGGCATTCTATAGCTTAACTTGGTTCTTTAGTGTGTTCCTGTGACAGCACATACATGATTGTTCCACCAAGTAAAAACAAAGGAGCTAGCAAGAGTTGGGAAGTGGGGATGAGATGATGAAAGGCTCAACTCAGAAATTAGAAAAAGCAAGAAAAACCCACTTCCAAACAGATGCGAGCAATCGCAGACTTCCACTTGATTGATTTATTCCCTTACTTTTAGAGAGTGTTTCTGCTTTTTGTTCCTTCAATATTGCCATACAAAGTAGTGTTCAGCCTGCCTCCAAGGGGGCTGGAGAAATGGCCCACTGGTTAAAAGCATACACTGCCCTTGCAGAGGACTTTCGTTCCTAGAACTCAGGTTGGACAGTCACTTGAGTTTCAAAGGGCTCCGACACCTTCTGGCTTCTACTGGGCACCTGTACTCACGGGCACATACCCCCCAACACACACAGAGACCCCTGTAGAAAACGAACTCTCTCTCCAGCTTCAGAATCATTTCTACTTTAACTGAGCTTTTCAATCTGTTCCTGAAGTGGCATCCTGACAACTCTGTAATACACTTGCTGGCAAACACAAATTGTAACTACTGTTCTCCCTACAGACGTTATCTCCACTTCTACCCACCTTGTTGGCTAGTTCCTTTTCCGTTGGTCAACTGAATACATTCTATCTTCAATCTTCTGAGAGACGTGGAGGTGGAGTATACAAAATACTTGGGACAAGATGTACTTGGAATATTTTCGTAACTATAATGAGGCATCTTTTAGTGTGCCTATATCTTGTCAGCAATCCATCAGTAAGGTATTGAAAATTTCCATTTCTAAGACATTAGGGCTCAAAGTCTTGGATGTGGGGACGTTTCTTTATGAAGTTGTTCAACTTGCGTGGTCTTCCAGCCAGAAATTCCTAATGCCATGCTTCACATGAAGCGAGGTAACCAGCATTTGCCCAGTTAGGATCTTGCTTGCCTTTCTCACACATAAATCTAATCTACTCATCGCATTATAGTTTACATATTTCTGCCTCAAATAATTTGATGGTAAAACACACAGGTTGTCAATGGTGTAGATGGAAGCCATTGAGGATTAGAAAAGTTCAACGGCTTCAACAAGGTCATTTAGGAAGATTAAGGACAACCAGTCCTTTGACTGTAAGACCCACCTGTAGCTAGAGTTTTCCTGCCTGACCCACAGCCAGGACAAATCTCTGTCACCCGCCAGTCCCACAGTTGCTCAGACCCAACCAAGTAAACACAGAAACTTATATTGTTTAAACTGTTTGGCCTAATGGCTCAGGCTTCTAGCTATCTAGTTCTTACAGCTTAAATTAATCCATTTCTATAAATCTATACCTTGCCACATGGCTTGTGGCTTACTGGCATCTTCACATGCTGCTTGTCATGGCGGCGGCTAGCAGTGACTCCCTTCCCTTCCTGTTTCCTCAGTTCTCCTCTCTGTTAGTCCCACCTATACTTCCTGCCTGGCCACTGGCCAATCAGTGTTTTATTTATACAGAACGATATCCACAGTACCCACCTGCTTCCTTTTGCCCACACAGCCTGGAGAACGTCACCAAACCACATTCCACTGTCTCACCATGGTCCTTACCAAGACACACCCTTGTTTCATTTAAAGCCACCCCACTGCCACTGCTCATGCTGTGGCAAGTCTTTCCTGAACAATATGATTTTCTCTATATTCCCCTCATGATTTGGACACCAACATCCGCTGTCAAACCAAGAGGCCCAACTGGATAAAACACACCCCCCATTCTCCTTGTCATCTGAGAGCTCCTGAACCGCCCTGACTGTGCATTGTTGTGTCCTTTGCCTTTTATTCTGTGCTCTAACCTCACTCTTTCACTGGCAGAAGTCTGCCTAAGCGATGGTCTTGCAGCTCCCACACACAAAGGGAGATCGCCACACGGGAGGTTTGAGTTTAGCTGCTCAAAGACTTAAGTGGGAGAGCGCTGTAAACACAACCGTAGTCTGGAAGGAACCTGCAGCAGTGTGTGAGCACAGAACATTCAACATATTAACCTTTCCATGGAGGCCTTGGCTCTTAGCATCCCCAGCACTGGCTTCCCGAGTCCTAGTGTAAGAGGTGATCCTCTGGATAGCTTCCCTCATTTGTAAATCCATACAGCATTCATTGATTACCCAGACCCGTAACAGGCCAGTTCCCTCAGACTATTTCAGCAGCCGCACACTCCAGTCTTGAATGCTACCCACAAATCTGGTCATTTCCATTGGGGGTAACTTTTTGACAATGTTCTGTTTCCTCTGTAATGGTTCCCACATACCTTAACTTCTGGAGCTGGTTGATTAAATTCCATTTTTCTTAGAAAATCACGCCGAAGCAGAGAATAACCATGCTTTCCCACTTACCCAGTTATTGAGGAGGGTGATCTAAAGCACGTAGCACAGTACCGATACATCTTCAAACTCAGTGTTTGCTTTAGTCATATAAAGTACAACAATGTGACATGTAATCTGCAGTTGATACCACAATCAATGCTTTCAGATTAAGATACTAGTAGCCAGGCTGGAGCAATGGCTCAGTGGTTAAGAGCACTGGCTGCTCTTCCAGAGGCTCCAGGTTCGATTCCCGGCACCCACATGGTGGCTCACTGCTCCCCGAAATGCTAGTTCCAGAGGCTCTGATGCCCTCTTCTGCACTCCACCAGCACTGTGCTCACACGGTGCACAGACATACATGCAGGCAAAACACGCAAAATAGATAAATCTTTAAAAAAAACAAGACACTAGGAGCCTCAGCTACCTATTATTTGCACTTAGCACAGTGTCTCGTAAGTAGGTGATCAGTGCTGAATGTAGGTGAAGGTTCTGTGCCCCAGCCAACGAAGATCCAAGTCAACAGGAATTGCAAGTCCTATCCCAGGGAATGCTCTCGGCTCCCTTCCCTACACCGCAGCAGCATTGGCTTCAGCTTTAAGAACATGACAAGTTAAAACATTAAGGTTACAACTTTCAAAGCTCATCCGTGCAAGTGAGTAAACAGGCAAAGGTTCAATGTTCTCAGTTTTACAAGTCAAGGCCATTTGAAAACTTGGCATTTTCCCAGCATTTGAAATGTCGTTCTTGTTTACAGTGTTACATTTTTTTTTCATCCCAGCCCTTACACACCAACATGTATATATCTGCCTAAGTCTATGGATAAAAGGTTTTGTCCTAATCACCCATTTTTATCTTCAAATGATGGGGTGAGGGCAGGCGGAGGGGAAACCCACTAAAATTAGGAGACCCTCATTTTCGATTTACTTTACTTAACGCTCTTGCCTCCACTGACTCTTGATCCAGGAGTGGATGCTGTTTATGCTAATACCCATCAGGCTCAGCTAAGCAGGGAAAAGCTGGGAAGTGCAGATTCTATCCAGGCACTATCAGAAAAATCATTTTGTGAGCGGTAAATGTCAAGTAAGACTCAGTGACAACACGTTAATTCAAGTGACTTCAATTTTATTATTATTTTTTTGTATAATCTTCAGAAGGTGGGAGAAGTGTCAGGTAGAGTATCTCCCCAGCCCTCTCCCCACCAAGCCAATCACTCAAGCACTGGGATCTAGGAAATGCTATAGTAGACCATCAGTGGTACCATTACGTACAGTTGGTTACAGCACCATGCTAATAAGCCAGGGTCTGAGCACTGACTTCTGCAAGGGCCAGTTAACTGAAGTTTGTCCCAGGGACCTGAGCAGCACTGTTAACTGCAGACTGCTTTCTTACAACGCACCCCACTGTCAGAAGACAAGGTCCTGGCAAGGTGGTTGGTGAATGGAAACAAATCTATCTACACTAATGGAGAAAAAAAGAAATCCCATGTGCGCTACTGGTAAAAGGTTAATGGAGTCTTATCTGTAAAGGAAAAACCACACATATTCCTAGCTCTACGTTCAACATGGTTCACTCTGAAATAGTTGACGACAGTTAACAGTTAACTTGATCTTAGAACTAGTGACATTCTACAGCAAGCCACGGTAAAGGCCCTGATATTGTTGCTTAACCCACGGAACCAGTCATTCCACATGGACAGCCTTCCCTCTTAGTAACTGCGCACCACATTTTGTTTTTGCATATTTACCATTGGTCATTTGGTTCAAAGTACTGTGAAAAATTCAGCTAGAAAATTATTCATAAAACTGTATTCTATATTTTATTTTCAAACAGCCAAGTGTCCACATTGAAAATGCAGAATTTGCAAATATAAGTTAATCTAATAATTCAATTTAAAATAAAGTCAAACAGCTTCCTTTAGTATCACAATACATAAAACGGTATTATAAACTCCGAGAGGCGAGGTGAACTCGATGACGACAGTGTCAAAAGCTATGAACTCATTAAACCTCGTAATGTCAGCTCGTGTCTCATGACCAGGCATGAAACAGGCCACCACTGTATTCAAATGGCTCAGTGATTCACTCATGGTATAATGTGGGGTCAAGCAAGATGGTTTTGGTTGTTTTTTTACAATGACAATAAAAAATCTTTAAACAAAAAATCCTCCCAATTGTTTAAAAACAATTATACATGGAGGACAATTATATTTTAAAATATCTTGGCTAAATTTCAATGGTTAGGCTGCTGACTGCAGTGTAAAAGTTTGTATTTAAAAATATCACAAATATAGTATTTAACAGTGAAAATTTCAATGTGGTTAAGTTTCACTGTGAAGCGATTTCACCTGAGTAGACTTTGAAATCTAGTGCCATGTTTTGGGGAAGGGAAGGAAAGCCCCGCTTTGTGTCTGATACTGAGATTGCAGCTCATTCTCCCACGGACCCTCTAGGGGTGCAGGATCGACCTGCTGTGGCCTTCCCTTTCCCATGTAAATTTACTCTGCATCTTAGGAATTCTCAATATCCATCAAATATTTCCATGTAGCTACCCATTCAAGCATAGCAACCCAATTCATTCAGTTCTATACAACGGCCTCTACATTATATACATGTTTAATTAGCAATAGGAAATAGAAAATAAAAATTTACAGTGATTGAGAAGGGGCCAGAGAGTAAGACAGGAAAAGTAATACTGTATATGCATAATTAGAATATCCTATCAGCCTACCACTTTCAATGACAAAGTTTTCTTTTATTGGTTGGAATACAAAGAAGGCATAAGGGATTCCAGGAAAATAACACTATGTCTCAGAAAATTCAACGTGCTCCACCATCAGGATTTCCATCACACATTTAATTTCTTCTGTACAATTTTTATAAATGTGTTTTTCTTTTCAAAGTCATCAGATTTCCAGGTGAAACTCAGCACTACACAGTATGCCCTTGAAGCAATGAGGTTAACCTGCTTTATTTGGGTACCAAGGTCCCTTCCAGACAGCATTAAAATAAAGACAAGTAAGACTAGACAGATAAAATCCAGTATAATTCAAACCCGACAATGAAAAATTTCCCCCGTATTGTTGCAAAATTCTTTCTACTGAAATGCTTGGCTACAATAATAAAAAGCATACATTACATAGAAAAGGTACCAGTGTACTAAAAAGTGACAGGAGTGGACTAGCAAATCCTTCCAAGCACATTATAGAAATGACTAGCGTTAAAAACATTTCCCTATAAAATGTAGTCATAATCATTTAGAAATTGGCGGCTTCGTTTCTAAAGCAGTGGCGGGTGTTCTGAGAGCTGTTCTGTACAGTACAGTGTCTACTCACTTCAAGCTATAAGTCTGTCTTTCTTTGTATTGAAGTTGAGTAAATTCATCTGGTCAGCTGAGAAATCAAGCTTGAAAAATAAGTATCTAAAAATCAAAGTAGAAAGTTTAGAATCATTGAAATGTAGCTATGAAATATGAAGAAATTTATCTACTTCACAATTGAACTGAAGTTACCTGAACACTTACGGGCTTGAATCTAAAACAGAAACAGATATTAAAACCTAAAGCAAACCACAAAGTTAGGTAGCGGTACAGAAGCAGGAAAAAAACACATCCCTTCCTTCAGTGTGATGGGCACTAAGTTCTGCGGTCTTTCTCCATCTTTGCACAAGAGTGGTAAGGCCATTCAATGCTTAGTGAGAGTGAGTGCAGATGGGGTCAGGTCTAGCCTGTCTCCCCTGCAACATCAATTATGCTGTGTAAACAGTGTTACGTTCCAACAGAAGGAACAATGGAATTTGCTTATAAAAACTGATTAAAGATAATCATTATTAAATGAAATAAGGATAACTAATAACTCTGAAATGTCTCTATAGAACGTTCCTGATGCTACTTGTAAAGTTAGCACTGCTATGTATTATTGCTTACATACAGTACAACATCACACGCCTTCTAACATAAAGCCGTACTGTGATTGGTTTGTACATATTTACAGAGTCTTAAAAACAAGCTGTAAAAACATTACATACTTTCAGACAATACAAATTAGCACATTGGTACTCACTTCAAACAAATGGAATGCATAACATTAATAAACATCATAAAGGAAGACTCACATCAAAGTCCTTGATTGTCAAGACACGTTTATATATAAACTCTAACTGTGCAGAATTAAAGATTCAATCATAGGTACATCCTTACTCGATGAACCGTATTTACAGCATGGTATTGCATAAAAAAATAAAATAATGTTTACAGGGTTTTACTTTTTTATCCATTGGATTAAAGAAAGCAACAAACACAACAAGAAATGTTTGTCTGCTTTAGTTTGTTTCCTACCAAAGTTTAGGTGGAAAAAGGAAACATACGGTTTTTATTTGCAGAATATAGCAAAAACAACTGGAAAATTATTTCCCTGAAATAAAGCAATTTGAAACGGAAAAGGTTTAAATTAAATTGCAGACTCAAATAAATTCTCACTGATTATAATAGTGCTTCTTCAAGTAAATACACTGGAAAAGGGTGCGCTCTAGTTTAACGGTCCTAGGGAGTGCAGTATGCAGCGTGCCTACGCAAAGGTTCCCGGCCTCTTTTTATTTATTTTTTATTTTTTTTTAAAACAGCCCTTTAAAAACCCAAATTAATAAAAACCAAAGAAATGGCAAAAGATCTAACCTCACTGGCACTTTGCAAGTGTCTCTCATCTGTGGGAATGAAAGCTTGCCCTGAGCACAAGGCCTCTTCTACCTCTCTGGAGATAAAATGACCCATTGCTGGCACCCTGAGTCAGAGCTAAGATGGTGGGTCCCTACCTGACTAGGTAGCACATGCGCACTGTAGATCCAAAAAAAAAAAAAAAAAGTAGGAGCCACTCAGCTATTCCAAACCCAACGGAATACATGTGCAGTAAGAACTGAAGTTCAAAAAGCAACAATGCTTTCAGATGCTGGAGAGCTCCTGCCTTGTCTAGTGGGAGGTCTCCCAAGCCCAGACCAGGCCAGGAAGAACCTGTGAGAGAGAGCAGAACAGGTTCATGGTGAGCAAAAGCTGAAGGGCACTGGGAGCTACTCCTCTACAAGAATTTGCTCACAGAGAGAGATGAGAAGTGTGAACCGACAGGGATCCGCTACAGCAGCACACAAGGCCACTTCCTTCCTCTAACGCCCAGAACTTTCTGAACCAAAGTGGAGAACCCCAAACTTTTGAGATGTTTCTCGCATGATGAAGAGACAGGCTGAGCCTGGCAGGCATTCAGGACTTCACAGTAAGAGTGATGGCTGTACTGAAATGGTAAGTCAATAAGTTATGCTGGCTATCGGTTATCTCAAATGCTTAACCTGGTAGGAAAGGCTGCCATCGTGTCGATGTAAAGAAATGTGTTTAAGACAGGAATGCAATGCCTGAAATTCTGTTTACAGAACTTCCATTTTCAAAGGCTTTTCTTCCTAAGCTTACCTGAAGCACTCAGCAACCGCCACATTCTTAAACATGTGCTGGTGATGTTACAAACAAAACCCCTTCCACTGGACAAGAAACACATTCAGTTCTCAGCGGAACTACGTGTTTTTAAAATCAGGCTCAACTTAGGAAATAAATGTCTACTCTTATCAAAAGTACTATGAGAAAAATACAAACGCCCATCGAGGATGAGCACGGTCCCATAACACCTCATCTGATGAAGCATTCCTGCGGTTACATGATGCGTCATAGACACACATCAGTCTTCAGATCAATAATGGCAGAACTTAAAATATTTACTTCAAAGAAGTCTTAAAGTTCTTGAAGCTCTGACAGCAAAGCTGTCAAATGGGAAAACTATGATTTCAAGCCAAGTTTCATTACAAAATGTAGAGAAACCACATTAAACATAACTTATATTCCTTGTCATAAAAACACCAACATATTAAAAAATAAATGAGTGTAAGTGAAGGACACTGGGGAAGGATATTTCTTTGTTCCCTTTCTTTATGAGAACAGTCTTGGGATAACATTAAATAAAAGAACAATAATTTAAATGGATAACATACTCAACACTAGAACAAAGCACACAGATCTACAGGTCAACAGCAAGTAAAGGGAAGTCAACGAAAGCTCCGTTTCCCAAGGGTACTAGTTTCGGGTTACCACTGGTGCACTGTGATAAAGATGGCAGAAATTTAAGTACAAAACCCAAAAAGGTGGAACAAATAAAAGGAGAGTCAGTGTAACTAATGTTAAGTCTCCAAAAATTAAACCTGTCCAATGTGTAACTCAAACCATCATTCTTCATAAAAGTGTATAGATATATGTATATAAAAGCACTATTTATTGTACCATGCTGTATTATTTTAAGACAAAGTATACATATATAAAAAAAAACATTCGTGGTATAAGGATAAAGTCTATAGTTTATTTAGATTTTGAAATGCAACAAAAAATTTTCGATCACTCATCTAGCTGAAAAAGAAATTGCAGTTACTGGAATCAGTAAGCACTTCCGCTTTGTAAAACTGTCATGAGCAGTATTCACTTAAAAGTAACTTAAGTAAGCAATTAAAATGCCCATTTCTTTAGTTTCTTGGGATACTGTTTAATTATCCAATCTATCAAGAGTCCAGAAAGAGAAGAATTAAACCAGGTTTTACAGTCCAAAGATATCCCAACTTCCTTTTATTGCCAAAAAGCAAAATTGTCAATTACGAGATGATTATGACACAACCATATCAAACCTAAAAAAATCTATTTTTTTAACTTTGAGAAATCAAAATACCAGATTAATCCTAAGTGCTCTATGTCAACTGAAGTGTGTAAAGTAAAATACATTTCAGCTTTAAAACGTGGAATATACATTTTGTGTAAGCATTATTTTCTTGGGAATGTAATCTACAGAATATTTCTTTTTTACTAAAACTTCAAACCTTGATACTTGCACATGAAAAATCATAAAAAATATCTAAGTATACCTGTACAAAGAAACTGACACCAATATGCATACTTCCATAGAGAAGTAAATGCTTCAACAGTTGTGTGTTTTGGTAAAAGTTTTGAAAGTATGCATACTTTAAAAGTAATTAGGCTTTTAAATAGTGGAGTCTTAAGACTATCAGATTTTTATTACTTTTTCTTCAAAAAAAAAACCACATGTCAATATAATGCAAACTGAAAATCAAGGGTATATGGCATATCATTTTTTAAGGTGGTTTCTTTTTATTCCCCCTATAGGACAAACTACTTATTTAAGCCATAATCTCTTGACATTGAAACTTTAAGTTCACTGTCGTCTGTGAAGTATCCTCAGATTCCCTGCTGAAGTGCAATACTATGCTGAAAAACTTAGAAACAGTATGAGGAAATTTCACACAATTACTACTCTCCTAAGAATGTACAATGTTATCAGTTAGGAAACAATTGTGCGAAAGTCTTTTCTCCTCCTCTTTATCTTGGTGTGGGTGAACAGCAAGGCTCTGATCTAAAACAAGTAACGCATCGCTCCTCTAACGGTGACAACACGTAAGGCAGTTCAAGGAAGGCGGGCTAACCAAACGAAATGCAGTTACTGGATTATCTTGCTATTCTTATCAGCTTGCTATGAACGCATTGCTCTTAAATCTGTATAGCACTCCATTTTACACAGAGTAACCCCACTCTTGATTAATCTGTTCTAAAGTGCCAGTATTATTTACACATCTTTTTTTTTTTTTTTTTTTTTTTTTTTAGCCAAAAGTCTGGCCAGTTGTGGCATCTGGTGAAGATGTCATCCCAGCTCTATTATCATTTACATTCACCAAGGGGAATTCTGAAAATTCAGCACTTGTCCCTGGTCCCCGAAGGTTCACCTGTCCATTGGCAGTGCTAAATTGAGTCGCTATTCCAGCTCTGGATCCATGATAAGGAGCGCGGAAGGGCTGTTCAAAGGAGCTCATTTGGTAAGCCTGGTGGACAGGCTGGGCCTCAGCTTTCTTCTGAGAAGTCACTTGATCCAAAAAGTCTGCTGTTGATGTGGCAGAGGCGTGGTTTGTCTCGTCACCTGAAAAGGGAAATGGGTGCTGTGAGTCACCGACTATCAGTCCAAAGTGAGACTTATCTGGAGTTGTTCTTAGTGGAGAATTCATTCCTGATCGAAAGCTATTGATGGGCATGGCTGCATAGACTTGCTTGTCTATGGAGGAGAATGCTGGCGGATTTGGAAGGGTCTGGTTATCAGTCACAAAGTTAAGGCTCGGGCTATTCAAATAGGCATCGTTTTGGCTAGTTCTGTCCAAAGCCTGCTGCAGAAACTTGGAGTACTCCTGCAACATGTTAGCTTTATCTGATGAGGATGCTTGGGAGCTTGATCCAACATTCTCTGACTGGGTGACTTCAGGTACGTCAGAAGAATTGATTGATATGCTAGACGTCACTTCCGTATCTGCAACACTGAAGGAAATCTCATGCTGTCCATTAGCTTTGTGGGAATAATGGTCCAGCAGAGTCTGTAGGACCTCATCTGGAATGACATTTTTGTCATGATTGCTCTTAATCTCCACATTCAGTGCCTGGGAATCCAATATGGACGCTGTGGTGCTTTCATCAATGACGCTGGCCACAGCTGCTTGTGTTACAGAAGGCTGAGAAGCTATGGTACCCACATTCAGTGCATACTCCCTGCTGTTGTTACTTGCAGCTTGAAGATAGCGCTTCTTCTTCAGAAACTGCATGGCATCGTCATAATTAGTGCTGCTGTGCACAGGTTTGCTGGGCCCCTCCTGTAAGTTGTCCACCTGATCGATGTCGGCACTGCCTTCTGAGTCCAGTAAAGCCTGCTTATCCACAAGTTCAAACGCATACTTGGAGACTTTGCTGTCTTCGTAAGTGGACAGGGGTGAAATGGTTTGATTTTGCTCCAGGGGCTGTTTCAGACTTCTCTTACTATTGATTTTTTTGAGAACCAACTTGGGTGGGTGTATTTCTCCAGATGCATCTTCTAAATGAGATCCTCCGACTGAAGAGTGTGGCATTTCAACAGCATACTCTGCGACCATGTACTCATCCTTTACTTTAGTGCTTGAAGAGTAGAGAGGCAAGTAATCATTTTTGTCTTTCTTCAGGTCCGATTTGTCCAATGCACTCTCTTTGTCCAGTCCAGATGATTTCTTCTCAGTTTTCTGCCTTTTCTTTTTTGGCAGTGCATTATCTTTTGGTGACGTAGAGAAGCCAGAATCCTCCTCTGACGTTAGAAGGCCACCTTTGATGGCACATCTGTTGAGTTTTTTGTCATGATTTTCATGGCACATACGTTTATGTTTCAATACACGATCTGTTCTGGAAAAATACTGTTGAAATCAGAGGTTGGAAGTAGTTTTTTTGTTGTTTTTATGATTGTTTTTGTCAACAAGGAAGAGAAGAAAAGAAACAAGATAATTAATAACAATATAAATAGTCCCAAACCAATTCACTGATCAAGTTTCTATTATAAATCTAATCAAAGAGCTTAAAACCTCAAATGGCTCTAGTACTAAGTTGTGCCTAACTGTTAGTTACTTCACACTGCAGTTAGGGAGGAAAATTCAAACTGGCTCACTTACCTGTAAGCAGTATTCACACTGGTAAGGCTTTTCTCCACTGTGAGTTCTCTTGTGCCTTTCCATGTGATATTTCTGTATGAATCTCATACCACATTCATCACAGCGAAATGGTTTTTCACCTAATAAATGATTTAAAAAATTCAAAACAAAACACTGTAAAATCATGGACTGCTTTGCCTAAAGAATCTCATAACATAAACAGGTTCTGACAGGCACAATAATCTGCTCCTTTTACATGACAAAAGATGTCTTCCACATACTAAAGGTTGAAAGCAGGCACGTTAATAGAATGTCACCAATAACTCCTGGGTACAGATTTTGTTAAATTATTGTACCACACCTGGAGATTTCATTTACTCATTCATTCATTCATTCATTCATTCATTCATTCATTCATTCATTCATGTGCCATACACCATGGACACATACGGTGGTCAAAAGACAACTGTGGAGCCAGTTCTCTCCTTCCAGCACAGAGGTCTCAGGGTTTGAACTTTCAGGCTCAGCCGGTCTGGACAGCCGGTCTGGACAGCCAGCACCAACATGGCTGAGCTACCTTGCCAGCCCAGGAGCAGCTATTTTAGTCTCAGTGTCTTTCCTTTCGAATTTTCAAATCACTCCCTCTACCTGGGGACACACACGTGTGTTGCTGAAGGTGTGGAAGTGAGAAGACAGTTTGAGGGACCCGCTTGCTCCCCCACCACGAGGGTCCTAGGGATTGAACTCAAGTCGTAAGAGCCGTTCCTTTCAAAGCACTTGTGAGTAAAACGAAATCTGGATCCTAGGGAGCAGCTCTTAAAAACAGTTCACCAGCCCCAACAGTACTGGGACAGAACCCCCCTAAGTGTTGGGGTGGGAGACCGTTTGTGGCGTGTGCGCTGCACAGCTCACGCGCGGTCCTAGTGTCAGGCCTAGAACTGCACAAACAAAACACAAGTAAGGTTTCTCCGCTTCTCCTTCTTGACTCACCCGAGTTCCGGTGTCTATGGAAAGATTAAACCGAGTGCTGTCAACTGGACACACCCTCTTCTCATCACCTTTCTTTACCCTAAGGATGTCTTAGCTGGAGGGAAACATTAATGTGAGTTCCAATAGTTTGTCCTGATGAACGAGATGTCTGAGTGAACACCGGAGTACCAGAGTCACCTTGAATGCTTTCCAGGAAACTAATGTTCCCCATCACACATTCAACAGAATGTTACTGAATCTGTTAAAAATGTTCTCTTTCCTTACACCCCCATGTATGTGTGTACAAGGTGTATCTTTCACTATGCTAACGAAATCATTTGTTTGTAGTAGTTTTTTCAGTTGACTCCTGTGTTTTCTCTTGAGATAATGTCTCACTATGTAGCCCATGTACCCTGCAGAACAAGATTTTCACCTGTATCTTTCTGATTTACCTGCCTAGCTTAGCTACTGTTCCTACACGTTGTATAAAAAAGTAGTAACGCTGATGTCTTGTTCCTGGTTTGGGCACTTGGGTGTCTTTGCTGAATGGAAGTGGAGATAAAATGACTGACACATCTTTATGAAAAATTAAAAAGCTGAATGAAACTTCTTTTGGAGAAATCTCTTACTGCTTTTTCCTCGGAGGGTTCAATTGAGACTCTCTGTTGGAAAAGGAAGCCAATCTATATAGATTACTTAAACGATTTTAAGACTGACATGAAAAGTAGTAAGTTTGTGATCTTTTAAAACTCACTCAGGAAATCCTAACACGTGAGAAAGGCAATCTCAGTATGTCCCACAGACACTGTTCCCATTGCCCAAGGGCTTTGGTTTCACTCTGGTCACATGACATGGCAGACCATCAGCAGTCTCTGGGTAAGGATGGAACAGATGGCACCTGCTATGGTTTGAGTGTGTCCCATAAAAGGCTCCTGATGTAACAGCACTGGGAGGCAGGCAGGGTAGAGCCTAGTGTGGTGATTACATCACCAACGACAACGCCCCTGAAAGGAACTAGTATTTTTTGTAGCTCCTATAGTTACTTCTTTCAAGAGAACTAAATGGTTGTTCTGGCCTTCTGTTTCGCCTTCTGATTACTCACACTCTGCCATGATGCCACCTGACATGATGGGATGTGGCTAGGGGAGGGCTATATAGTCTTGACTTTTAGCCTCTAAATGGCGAGCGAACAGAAGCCGCTTTCTCTATGAAGTACCCTGTACTAGCCTGTGCTTCTTCATTTCAGCACTCTCCACAACATCCACAGTAGTTATTGGGTAGATTATATGGGTGGGTACTGCAAGGACCGAGAGCCTTCTGCCTTTCTCATGTTCTGCGTTCTTTTCTTTGGCAAGAGGGAAGCTCAGCTATGGTCACAGCTTCAATTATGCTCAACTCTGACCTCCAGACCCACGCCTCCAACCTGTCTATTCAACATGTCCATTTCTTTTTCATTTTAGACTGATTCTATGTGTATGAGTACTTGCTTGGATGTACATATATGTTTACACATGTGAGTCTGGTGCTGGTGGAGGTCATAAGTAGGTGTCAGATCACCCTGGAACTGGAGTTACAGGTAGTTGGGAGCCACCATGTGAGTGCTGGGAATTGAACCTGGGTCCTCTGCAAGGGCAGCCAAAGCTTTTTAACCACTGAGCCGTCTCTCCACACCTGACATTTCTGACACTTAAGCATCTCAAATACATCCCATCTCACATTAAACTTAAGACCTTCCACCACAGCTTAGATTACAATGGTGCTACTTCATTTGGCTGCGCAAGCCAGAGGCCTGGAAGTTTTACTCTGTCACTCTGTATTTGCCCAATTAACACATCCTCCTGATTCCTCTTAGTTTCCCATTGTTATCACCCAAGTTCAAGACACTCCTGGCCTAGAAAGTGATGTAATGCCTTCTAACTAGTGGTGTTAGTTACCTTTTCCTTGCTGCAACAAGTCCCTGAAATAAATAACTCGGAAGAAAGGAAGGAAGGTTCGTTGGCTCACACTTGCACAGGCTCCAGGCCAGGCTGCCCCACTGTTTGTGTATGTGCTGAGGTAGAAAGCTGAAGGCAGTGGTGGCAGCCATCAGAGTGTGAGGCATGCCCTGTGTACCCATCAGTTTTTATCATCAACTAGCCACATCTAGAGCCTGAACGGAAGGACTGCCTCCATCATCTGGCCTGTGGTCATGTCCATCAGCTACAATCGGCATGGGAGGCCAGTCTACTGTGGGTGGCATCATTCCCCTACACACGGGTCTGGAGAGTGTAAGAAAGCAAGCTGAGCATGGATCGGTTGAGTAAGAGGGTAAGCAGCACTCCTCCATGGATTCGGCTTCAGTTTCTATCCTGAACCCTTAAAGAATGGATTGTGATCTGAAGTGTCAACCAAAAAACCCCTTCCTCCTCTCAGTTGCTTCTGGCCAGAGCACTTTACCACTGACAGAAAAACAAACCAGACCACCACATACACCCGACAAGTGGAATTCAGTCCCAGAACCCAGAGTGAAATCAGAGAACTGACTGTGTGTCTTATCCTCTGACCTCCACATATGTGCCATGCACATGCATGCCCAAACTCATATACACATTGCACACCACACACCCCCCATATCCCCATGATAAATTAAGTACTTTTAAATATAAGGGACTGGTCAAACAGAATTGCTCACCTCATGGTGGCCAAGAAGCAGAGAAAACAGGAAAGAACAGGAGAAGTTGTAGCCTTCCAAGGTACTATCCACCTGCCACGATCCCTTTCCCGCAACTAGGCCTTACTTTAATTGATTGCTATCTCCCAATAACATCATCATATTATAAGTCCATCAAAGGATAATCCACTGACTAGGTCAGAGCCCTCCTAACTGGATCAGCTTTCAGTGGCTAGAACCCACCAGCTGAGGGCCAACCTTCAACATGTGTCACAAGCCTTCTGGAAGACATGGGGTTCTTTAACACCAGGGGTGCTGCCAGGACACAGGCCCCTCTTCTAACTCCACAGCACAGCAAGAGGCTATTGACAGCAGCAAAACTGACCAGGTAAAAGCCGATCACTTTCTCTCTCTCTTTTTATTTGTCTTGTTTTATTGTTTTGTTGAGACAGGGTTTCTCTGTACAGCCCTGGCTGTCCTGGAACTCACTCTGGAGACCAGGCTGGCCTCGAACTTGACTTCTCAAGCTCTAACCTTTCTTCAATTCCAAAAGCTGCCACATGTATTTTCCAACACACCACAAAACTCCTCCAAATTAGTTCTTTATTTTAATGAACAGAAAATATTTAATAGTCAAAAAAATTATTATTACCTACATTGTAAGTACAATTTCTAAATAATAAACTCTACGAAAAACCTAAGTCCAATATATTTATGACCTAGGCACAGTGGCACAAGCTGAGAATTCCAGTACTTGGGAAGTAGAAGCAGGTTCAAGGGTACCTTTGGCTACACAGTGAGTTCAAGACCAGTCTGAATTATAAGAGATCCTGTCTCACTCACTCCGCAAAAGGAAGAGGGGGAAAAATCACACCTCTGACAAAGTTCACTTGGTCTGAGTAATACATTCTCGACAAGCGATGCATATACTGTACAAGTTTAGTGTGAGACAGGGTCTCACTCTGTAACCCAGGCTGGCTCAACCTCATGGCAATCCACCTGTCTCAGTGACCAGTGCTGGAATCACAGGTATGAGGTACCATGATTGGTACATGCCTTTAATCCTAGCACTGGGGGCGGGGGAGGAGGGTGGGGGGGGTGGGGGTGCAAAGGCAGATGGATCTCTGAGTTCGAGGCCAGCCTGGTCTACAGAATGAATTCCAGGACAGTCAGGGCTACACAGTGAAACCTTGTTTATAATAATAATAATAATAATAATAATAATAATAATAATAATAATAATAACAACAACAACAACAATAACAATAACAACAAAAATAAATTTAAAAAAAGAAAGAAAAAAGTAACTTCAAGTAACTTTAGTGGGAAGCAACTTTAAAACCTATTTTATAATATAGAATGCTTTTCCTACCTAAAAGGTGGCAAGAATTAAAATTCTAAAAACATTGCAAGGTGATGGCGGTGGCACATGCCTTTAATCCTAGCACTTGGGAGACAAGAGGCAGGCAGATCTCTGTGAGTTCAAGGCCATCTTAGTCTACAGAGCTAGTTCTAGGACAG